GGGCTTAGGGTAGGGTTTAGGGTTTTAGGGTTTTAGGGTTTAGGGTAGGGTTTAGGGTTTAGGGGTTCTGATACTTCTAACTCCCTATAAAATAATAGCTACTTACGAAGTCCCCAGACCCTGCAGGTGAAGGGTCCAGGAGAGTTTAAGCAGGTTGAAGCCGCTGTCGTGCAGGGCTCAATCCCGAATCCAGTAGAAAAACACAGAGCGAAGAAGCCGCCCTGAGCACACGAGACCTTTCTGCCCCAAACCCTAAACCCCAAACCGTCCAAAAAGCCCACAGTCCCTATCAGAAGGGGGACTTCATGCTGAGAATGCAGGTTTGGGGCCCATGGGGTCCATACAGGGAGATCGGTACCAATGGCTACGACATCTATACTAATTACTCTCCCAGTTGTGAACTTCCAAGCAGAAAATCATTCGGGGCTCTCGAGTGCTCAAATGGCATACCCTTAACCCTCCTAAACCCTAAACCCAAAACCCTAAAGCCTATACACCCCAAACCCTATGAGCCCTAAAAGCACCCAGCCTTGGACCCAGAGTCACAGAGGGCCGATTACCAGTATCGTGATGTTGACTCCAGAGTGGATACTCCTTTTTGATTTAATTGCAGATGAACCCTAAACCCTAAACTTTAAGTTACTATCTCTGAAGCCTCAAACCCTAAACTCTACACCGTAAACTCTAGGCCGCAAACTCCAAACACAAACCCTGAAACCGAAACCTAATCTCCTCGGGGTGCGTGGGCGCTGCAAACTCTAAACCCCAAACCCCTAAACCCTACACCCCTGAACCCCCCACACCCAAAACCGCTAAACCCGTAAACCCCTAAAAAACGAACTCAGCGGCTCCCAAATGAAGCGTTGCTGACGAGCGGCGATGCGTGCGATGCCAGGCTCGACCTAAAAGACCCGTTCAGGCTTCATGAGGTGTTCAGGCTTGGCTTAGGGTTTAGGGTTTGGGGGGTAGGGGCCTTAATAGTCAGACTAGGGTTTTGGGGGCCCACTACACTATAGGCTTCATGAGGTGTTCAGGGACACGGTTTAGGGTCCAGGGTTTAGGGGTAGGAGCCTTAAGAATTAAAGTAAGGTTTTGGGGCCCACTACACTATAATTATAATAAAGGAACCCTAACAGCAACATGGGCCATTATTTAGGCTTCTATATTAGGGTTCAGGGTTCATCGGGGCTTCAATAGGACTTTCGAGCTTGTGGGGCTTAGGGCTCTGGGGTTCGGGAAAAGGGGTTCCTTTTCGGGTTCCGTTGAAACGGATCTGCACTAAACATATTATAGGGGGAAAAAATCTTTCCCTTATAATATGTTTAGTGAGGAAAAAGTATTTTGTCCCCTATAATATGTGTAGAGCTCATGAAAGAGTTCTTTAACCCTGTTGGAAAGCTGTAAGTAATCTGCTGTCAGCAACGCTGCTCTTGTGCAACTGTATCATGGACTACTCAGAGATCTCGACTTCCCCGAGTGCAGTCAAGTTGCTTTTCTCTGCCAGGTTTGAGGCTTTAGGCATGTAGGGTATAGAGTTTTAGGGCTTGTCCCTCACATCGAGGATCATCTGGTTTGGCAGTGTCGGGCAAGGGTTCAAGCCAAAGTCTTCCCCCGGTGAAGTTTCCAAGGGATATCGTCCAGATTTTGGTGGTGGTCATATTGTGAACGTCTTTGTGCGGTCCTACCGGACAATCCCATCCGAGCTGTATGCTTGTCCACTGTCCTTTGGCCCCATGGGTTTTCAGGCACTGGTTGATGTAGCGGATGATGTTCGGGTACTGACATCCCTTCTGATTACCATGGGAGTAGGCACCGAAGGCTACGCTGCAGGTGCCCTCGTGGACCTTTCGTTTTCGACCCGCTTGGCATTGTTGGCAAACTCTCCTGATGATCTCCTCACAGCTCTGGTGACTAAAGTCCCGTTCACGAAGAGTCTTTGGTGCTGCAACCTTCTCTTCTGCCTCATGAGTTGCACCAGGTACCATCCGTAACCTTTCTTGAACTTCTTTCCTGTTCTTCAGCGCGGCTCAAAAAGGTGTTGTGCCGTCTGCGGCTTTCTTAGGCGACCCGTAAACCCTAAGCCCTAAAACCCTAAAACCCTGAACCCTCAAACCCGAACCCCTAAAACCCTAAACCCTGAAACCCTAAACCCTAAATGCCTAAACCCTAAAACCCCAAAACCCTCAAACCCTAAACCCTAAAACCCTAAACCCTGAAACCCTAAACCCTAAAACCCTAAACCCTAAAACCACAAAAACCCTAAAACCTAAACCCTAAAACCCTAGTGGTGCTACGGGCTTATGGCTTGGGGATATTTCGGGTCTGGGGCGTGGGAGGCCGTGGGGCTTGGCATCTCTCGGGTGTAATGTCTGTTTCAAGCTTCTTATTTAGAAATCCCTAAACCCTAAATCCTAAAGCCCGTTCTTGTAATGGCTATTGCAGGATTATTATAGAAATCCCTAAACCCTAAGTCCTGAAGCCCGTTATAGTAATGGCCATTTCAGGATTTATTCAGAAATCCCTAAACCCTAAACAACCTTAGGGGAACCCCTGAAGGAACCCTAAACAGAAACTTTACAGGAACCCTTTTACCCTAAACCATTAGGGTTTAGGCTTTAGGGTTAGGGTTTAGGGTTGAGGGTTTAGGGTTTAGGGTTTAGGCTTTAGGGTTAGGGTTTAGGGTTTTAGGGTGTTTTAGGCTTGCAAAAACCCAGAAATCCCATCACCAACACCCGAAGTTCAAACCTGGAAACCCCGAAGCACTAAACTCACTTACTAATGTAGGGCCTTGATAATTAGAATAAGGTTCTGGGGGATAATATACTATAATCATAATAAGGAACCCCCAAACTATCATATGTAATTGTTTAAGCCCCTGTATTAAACTCAAAGGAAGCATTTGATTTGTAAGGAACGCTAAACTCTAGGGGGTAGGATTAAGGGGACCCTTGGGGATACAGACCCTCTCAATAAGGTGCCTTGTTTAAGAGAGACATAAGTAGGGTGAAGAAGGGTCCCCTTTAAGGGCCTTCCTAATACTACCTAAAACCTGGGTTACCTTATAGGATTTTATATATGAACCCCGAAAAGGAACTACTTCAGGGCCTATGGGTACATCCTAAACCCCAAATCCTAAACCCTAAACCCTAAACCCTAAACCCTAAAACCTAAACCCTACCTAAAGCCTAGGAGAAGGGAACGCTGAACTCCTGTGATTCCGGCCACCAGCTTCTGGAACTCCACTTTGCTGATCCTCGGTTTAGGGTTTAGGGTTTAGGGTTTAGGGTTTAGGATAGGTCTAATATAGGGGCCTTCATCATTACCTATACTCTTTGGGGATTCCTAATTCTAATTATAGTAGAATTGCCCCCCCCCCCAAAAAAAACACTATTCTAATTATTAAGGCCCCTATATTAAAGACTCCCTCTTACAGCAGATCCCTTGTGGAACCCTTTAAAGGAACCCTTTAAGGATCCCTTTAAAGCCACCCTATTCTAATTTGTTCTGGCCCCTGCATTCGGGTATTAAGGGACAATAGGAGGGACCCCTAGAAGGGACAGCTAATCCAAATACCTTACATAATCCTTCTATACCCCTTACATAGTCTCATAAAGCCCCCATATAACCCCCAGGGTCCCTTTAAGAGTCCCCCCTTTAGCCCCTTGAATTTAGAGTGAGAGGGTCCAGGCTGGGAGAAGGCAGTATGAGGCGTTGATCAGACCAGTTTGAAGGCGACAGTGTTGCGATTTAGGGTTTAAGGGTTTGGGGTTTAGGGTTTAGGGTTTAGGGTTTTGGGTTTAGGGTTTAGGGTTTACGGGTTTGGGGGTTTAGGGGTTTGGGAGGGTTCAGGGGTTCGGGTTTGGGGTTTAGGGTTTGGGATTTAGGGTTGTGGGTAGGCTCCAGGGTTTAGGGTTGTGGGTTTAGGGTTTAGGATTTAGGGTTTGGGTTTAGGGTTTAGGGTTTAGGGCTTGGGGTTTGGGATTTAGGGTTTAGGGTTTGGGGTCTAGGGTTTAGGGTTGTGGGTAGGCTCCTGGAGCCATGTAGCCAAACCTCCAAGCCCCTTCAGAAGCCCGCACAGAAGCCTAACCTCAACCTTCAAACCACTAATCCCTGAAAAACCTTAAACCCCCAAACCCCTAATCTCGGGGCCTTAATAATTAGAAAAGGGTTTAGGTGTCATTTACAGTAGAACGTCGATAAGGAACCCCCCAAAATAATACAGTAATATGTAATTATTGAGGCCCCTACATGAATCCCCTAAACCCTTAAACCCTAAACCACCGAAAACCCCTAATCCCCTAAACCCTTAAACCCTAGAAACCCTAAACCCTCCCTAAACCCCCAAAAAACACCTTAATATAGTACGGCATCCCTTTTAAAAAGGACCCTAACATGGACCCTAATCTAGAGAACTACCCACATGAATCCCCTAAACCCTTTGCTTTTCAAACCCCCAAACCCCTAATCCAGGAGACTTAATAACTTTAAAAGGGTTTTGGTGTCCTTTATAGTATAATGACCCTAAACCCTAATCCCCTAATCCCCTAATCCCCTAAACCCTAACCCTTAATCCCCTAAACCCTAAACCCTAAACCCCTAATCCCCTAAACCCTAAACCCAGCCGAAGCCCTACGCTTTTTTGCCGCGCAGGGACGGTTCCTCTGAGTCGAAGCCCAACTTATCAAGTTCGATCCTCACAGTGCCGAAGTCTCATCGCTTGAGGGTTTGGGTGTAGGGTTTAGGGTTTAGGGTTTAGGGTTAAGGGTTCGGGGTTTGGGGTTTAGGGTTTAGGGTTGGGGGTTTAGGGTTAAGGGTTTGGGGTTTGGGGTTTAGGGTTTAGGTTTAAGGGTTTAGGGTTTAGGGTTTGGGTTGGGGCTTGCAGGGTTAGCATTTGCAAAAGGGTTTAGGGTTCAGGGCTTTGTGGGCTTTCACGATCTTTGAGCTTTTGGTGTTTAGTTGACGATTTGTGCTGTTTTTTTCTCTGCCTTTTGTGTCGATTTCATAATGGTTCCCTTAAGGAACAAGTCCCCCAAAAAGTATTCAAGTATGGTACTCCAGAACCCAGTCGATGTCGTAGGGTCCAAACGGCTGGGCCCTCATGATTTCTACATTTCGGACGGGGGCGCTTGCAGGCCGCCTAGGTTCGCCTGAAATCACGGGGTCTAGGGTCTTGCAACCTTTCGAGGTTGAAGCTGTAAAGTGCGTACGCCTAAGAAAGGGTGTAGAATCAGTAAACTCCCAGAGTAAGGAATATGGCTTAAATCATAAGGGGGTTCATACTGTGATTTAAACTATATTCCTGTTTTTAGGAGTGTTGGGCCCTCTGGGCTCTTAAACCTAAACGCCCAGCGGTCAAACGCCTCATAAAAGCAGCTTTGAACACCTGCAAGCCGTCATCTCCCTCACCCATGAGGTTGGCAAGATTGCCACCCTGGAGGACCTTGATCAAGGCTTTCGTGATGTCCTTGCTGCGGGCACCTTTCTTCTCGAGCATGAATGACACGTTGGCGATGAAAAGCGTCAGGTTGGTTAAGAAGTTTAGGACTGATGTTCCCCTGTCCCCGCTTTCGCGTATCATATCGAACAGGACAGCACCAATGACATTCTTGACACTGATGTGGCATTTGTCTTTTGTTCTGTCCTTGATCGCCGCGTGAAGGAGGCCGTCTTTGCTCTCGGCGTCCATCAGCTTGGCAAAAAGGGAGACTAGGATGTCGTTTTCTATGAGGTCGCGTACACCCTTCGTACAGCCCGTGCCCGAATACCCAATGAATGGGCCCTTGGGAGTCAAATCAAATGCCAGGCCTGAAACCACAAGCCCCTTGTTACAACCCTATTGAAACGCTGGTTCACCTTTTATCTCTCTGGAAACTAACAAACACCCACAAACTATTATCAGCTCTCGATCGAATATGTTACGACACCCATAATCTCGTGCTCTGTATTTCTCCATAGTAAAACTCCTTACCTATAGTAAACCTCTCAGCCGATAGTAAACTCTTCATATACATGTATCATGCGTATGTATATAAACATAAATGAATAGAGAACAAAATAAATAAAAAAGAAGGAAATACATATATATATATATACTTGTGTTTGCTTAAGAAGCCGGAAA